ACGAGTAACGGGGCATCTATTCTACTACTTTTTAGATGGATACTCCGGCTACAATCAGATCGAGATTACTTTGGACGATCAAGAGAAGACCACCTTCACGTACCCCTATGGTACCTTTGCCTACCACCACATATCATTTGGACTATGCAATGCTCTGGGACGTTTCAACGCTGTATGATGGGGATATTCAGTAAATTTTGGTGATTAGGGATTCATTCAAGGGATGTTTGGCAAACTTGGAGAGAGTTCTAACAAGATGTGAAGAGAAGAATCTAGTCTTGAATTCGGAAAAATGTCACTTTATGGTGATGGAAGGAATTGTGCTCGGCCATATAGTTTCGGCAAGGGGTATTGAAATAGATAAATCCAAGGTGGAGGCCATCTACAACCTCCCCACGCCAGGAGCCATCAAGGGCATCCGGTTGTTTTTGGGCCATACAGGTTTTTATCGTCAATTCAAAAAGAATTTTAGTGCATTGGCCTGACCCTTAACCAACCTGCTATCTAAGGAGGTCCCATTTGAGTAGTCACACCTCCGATCATGCGACCACCCAATTGGGATCTACCTTTTGAGCTCATGTGCAACGCAAGTGATTACGCGGTCGGCGCAATACTCAGTCAGAGGAAGGAAAATAGACCATATGTGATACACTATGCTAACAAAACACTTAGTGAGGCTCAGATGAATTACACTACCACCGAGAAAAAGTCGCTAACAGTAGTGTTTGCCTTAGATAAATTTCGTTCTTACATCATTGGTTCGCCTATTGTTGTCTTTATGGATTACTCTGCTTTAAAGTATTTGTTGTCTAAGCAGGATGCAAAATCAAGACTCATTAGGTGGATACTCCTCCTAAAAGAATTTGACTTGACAATCAAGGACAAGAAAAGAGCTGAGAACATGGTGACGAATCATTTATCCCGGCTTGTGGTGCATAAGGCCGATGAGCACATTCCAATCCCTGACTTTTTCCCTGATGAGCATATGATTCGATTGAGTTCTGAATAATCAGGAATCCTATCTTCTTTTTTACCAAAAAAATCCGACCTAAAGAATTTGTGTCTCACTTGATTATTAGTTACTAAGATGTTAGAAATATATCTTCGCTTGATAGAAAGAGAATGAGCATTCATTTGATCTTGATCTCTGATAATAGCTCAGATCGCACCAATATCAATCTGTTTTCTTTTATTTATACCTATTCCAAGGCAAGGATTCAAGAATCCCTTAACCAAAATCAAGGAACTATTCATACGGTATTGAATAAAAATAAGGAATGCCAATCCTTGATAATTTTGTCATCATCCAATTGTTAGGTATTAATGATGTTGCAACTCAAAGAATTCAATGGAAAAGAATGAAAATCCAAGAAAAGGAAGAAAATGGGTGAGAAGAAGAAAAGAATGAACAAAAGAAAAGGAAAATGTCAAGGAAAAGAAAGAAAAGAAACAAAGAGTGTGGTGATGGTGTTAGCCTAGAAATCCCATAAAAGGGAGAATTTTTTTAAAATAAAGGTCATTCACTCATAACAACCCTCTTTGTCATCCTATATCCTTCATTTCACTTACCTCATTACCACCCAAGGCCTCATTACAACCCTTGAAAGTCCTAAATTATCTAGAGAAAGCATAGGGGAAGCATACTTTAAAGAACAAGAGAAGTTGGTTTAGCTATCTAATGCCCTAGCATTCCTTTCATGAGATTATGCCAAGGTTGTTTTATTTTTCATATATGAACTTCATTTTTGGATTGCATGTGAGTACACTTTGTTTTGAACACAAGATTCTATCTCACATGTACACATGGAGTGCATACCAGGAGAACTAGAGTGCATTTCATTGTTTAAGAGTGACCTCCGGTGAGTTTTGCATTGAAACTGAATTTGGCAGGCTATTCGAATGTGAATTTTGTTGCGTAAATGCTCAAATTACTTGTTTAATTCACACACACACAAGTTGAAAATGAATTTGTATGTGTGCTTAGTTCAATCATCTGAGAAATGTGTTAAATAGTTCCATACCTGCAGAATAGGGGAATATTGCTCAAGTTTTTTATATTTGGGATGAATTAGGAATGCCCATGTTATTAATTATGTGATTTGCATTTTGGGTGTTCATTTTGATAGTTAAAGTTAGAAATCCATTCCTTGTACATTGAATGCATCAAAATTTTAAATCACATTGCATTTTCGGTAATTAATTGGGCATGATGGCTCAAATTGTGGTTTTCAAGTGGAGTACATGTTTAGGGTGGAGTAGAGGTCACAACGAGTGTCTTAGGATGGATAGGGGAGGTATTAAAATGAAAAAGAAGTGGGAAGGCTTGCCTAGCAAGAATTTTTTTTTTTTTTTTTGCAACTAAGGTAAACTGTACCGGTACGCTGAGGCCTTTGGAGTGCGACGTACCGGTACGCTTTACCTGGAATTCCAAAAGTTAAGGTTTTTAATCAATTTCTTTCAGGAATTCCTTTCACTTCCCTCTTAAACTACACCCCTTTTTTCACTACTCTCTCACCCGAATTCTCCCTTAGACTTCCAAATCCCCCTCATATTCCTTCAACCCTTCAAATACTCTCCCTTGTGCTATGATTTGGGAAAATCAAATCTTGGAAACCCTAGGTGCCGAAAATCTCTCAAGCCTTCATTTCCCTTAAATTCTCCATTTCTCCTAAAATCTCTCACATGGCTCGTTATGTAATGATTCCCCAAGATGCTATGGACTTGATTGAAGGTCTCCTCTTGACTCTCTTCATTTTTCTGACAATGGGGGCACTGTTGCTATGCATGGCCCAAACTAAGAGGCCCGGATCTGACAACCCTCAACCTGAAGGGCCAAGTGAGAACCAAAGTGAGCAAAGGAAAAAGGCAAGGCATGAGGCACGGATGAAATTGATCCAAGAGAAAAATGTGACATGTGAAAGGTACCTCGATCACATTTTCCTTACCCCAAGGAACGAAGTTGTTTGAATCATTGAGGCACATGGTATGAAATTCTGATTTGAACCGGTTGATGGTTTTAATTTGTCAATGTAGAGAGTTCTACCAAACTCTTAGGGTGGCGGATGTGAATGCGGTGGAAGTGTTGAAAACGAATGTTCAGGGTAAAATGTTTGTGGTGACCCCTGACGTCATTGCCACATTTCTAGGGAATTATGAAAGGCCACCAAATTTTCCACCACCCTATCCTCATAGCAACACCCAAGCCAAGAAAATTTCTGAATTTGTAGAATTGATGTATGAGGACCCTAGTAAATTCAAGGGACTTGTTCAAAGTGGGGGATTGAAACATTCGTATGGACGGTTGAATAAGCTTCTCCATTACAATCTTTTACCAAGGGGCTCCAAAAAGAAACCAAATCTTGAGAAGCTTGGGTCTGTTGGACATTGTTATGTCAGGGAAAATTGTTGACTTTGCCCTTGTGATATGGGAAGTCATGAAAGACTTTGCCAATACACAGAAGCCTGCGACAAATTTTCCGTATAGGAATTTGGTAACCCGGATGTGCATACATTTCAAAGTGAAGACTTATGCGTTTGACAAGCTCTCTCCCCCGGACATTGGGGCGATTGGCAGGACTAGTAGCAAAAAGAGAAAGTCAATGAGTCGGGGGAAATGAGCTAAGACGATCGGTTCTGATTCTCGGGCCCCCGGACCAACTTCATCCGTTGGTCCATCCACAGCTGCACCGAAATGCTTTATCCCTCAATGCCTCAATGCATTAGAGGCTACGGTCCATGGGATTGAGGAATTTGTGCAGAGCATGGCGACGATGATGAAGGAGCTATTTGTGCACACCTTTCTAGGGAGGGAACCTTCCTAATATAGTTAGGAAGAGAGAAATGAAGCCTAGCCTCGAAGGTGGACTCATAGAAGTAAACTTCCTCGGGGGAAAAGGAATTTGAAGTATCATTAGCAAAGGGAACTCACAGTTTAACAAAACTGTGGATCGAGTATCGAATCTTGAATTCTTTGAGAGAGTATCGAGTCTTGAATTCTTCGAGAAAACTCTCGTTCAAGCAGCTAGAGATACTTTTTGCTCCACCAATCCTCAAGGTAGAGGACCCAACCTTTTGAATGGAGTCAAAATCTTTGTTGTTTGCAACATTAGCCTGAGCCATGAGTGTTGAGACTTTCTCAGTAGAGGGGCAATTGGAGTTAGAAACCATAACTAGGAAGTTGTGGTGGTTGATATATAGATTTAGTGGAAAGGAACAATTAACCTTGCTAGCAACTAAAGAAAGGTAGAAATCGAACATGAGGGCAAGATGAGCACGGATGGGTTCGTCCACAAAAAACCCTAGAGGCTCTAAATCAAAGTTTTTCCACATTAAGAAGCAGAAGCGATAAAAGTAGAATTGAAATATGTGCCTCCAGCCTATGCGATCCAGAATGAAAAGTCAAGTTGAAATAAACAAGCAAGAAGAGATTAGGGCAAGGAATCAAAAGCTTGAATTCTAGAGGCTCCCAAAGACAATCGGAGAAGAATGTGGCATACCCTTATATACTAGGCCAACAACGGCTCTTTGGCAATTGAGCATAACAAGCGAGCACCTCTACTCCCTTCAATGGACGAACGTAATTAATGTGTTAGTGTACCTTCTACTAGTCTAAGCTAGGTGTAGTCGGTGGAGATAAATTTGGCTAAATACAAGCACATGACCAGCGCATGTTAATAGTCACGAGCAAGGCACGCGAGATGGAGTTCGGTGTAAAGAGCGAGCTCCAACCCCAGATAGCTCACCCATATCCCCTATTTTTAGCTCAAACCAATTCCAAGTATTTGGGGAAGGAGGTTCCACATTCCTTGCCACCTAATTTGAAAAGTAGCTACAAGGCTCCAATGACAATAGGATTTGGGCCTATAAAGGGAAGGAGGCAGCTGCGTCCAAGGTAAGCAACACTTTCTTAGCTAAATACAACCTCTCATACTAATCCTTTACAGACTTTATCATCAGAGGGTTGATCACCGAAGACTCTCCAATCTTCGACCTCTGTGCAGGTGCTCGTCAGTGATTGTCAGGCCTATTTTGGGATCAACAGTTTTGTATTCTTCATGGTTGGTTCGAGAAGAAAACATGGAACTTGGAAGAGATTATGATACTAGTGGTAGTGTAGCATTATCAACAGTTCCCTACTTGTTTGACATATACCCATAAATCCTTACTCTTTTGCTTGGAGTTGCAAATTGAATCCCAACACCACCCTAAGACAAGAGTAATCCTGAATCCAAAAGTTGGCTCTGATAAAAATATTTGGTCTAACATAATACTTAATATATGTATTTTTTTTCACTTTGTCTCCCAATGTTCAGGTGAAATACGTAGTAGAACTTGCACGGGCATTGGCCAACATGAAAGGAGTCTATCGAGTAGATCTCCTAACTCAACAAATCACATCAGCAGAGGTTGATTCTAGCTATGGTGAACCTATTGACTTGTTGGCTTGCCCATCCAAGGGCAGTGGTAGCTATGGTGCCTACATAGTTCGAATCCCAGGTGGACCTCATTTCCATATGCATTTGCATTTTGGAGTTTGGATTCTTTGAAGTTGGCCTAAACTTTAAAGGGTGAATTTGGCCTAACAAGGCCGCACAATGAGAATAGTATGTCACAACCAATGGAAGAAAGGAGACCTCACAATGCTGACTAGTGATGCAACTAATCCTGACCACACAATTCTCATCTTGCGACAATATTGGGCTTAACGTCATCCTCTAGAGTTTGACCAAGATTTGACCGTGTGTGTCTTTGGGTGTTTTTTTCTTAAGCTAATCAACTAATCAGTGTTGTCACCGTCTTAATGATGTCATTATGTTTCTCCCATTCCAAGATTGCAGTTTCCATAACCAAGAGTGATGAGAGTAACATGAACGCCTTTGACATAGGTACATTCTAAAAGAGTCACTTTGGCCTCACATACCAGAATTTCTCGATGGGGGAAAGCCAACGTAGCCTTATGTGATTCATGGCCATTATGCAGATGCTGGGGAGGTAGCAACACATTTGTTAGGGGCCTTGAATGTACCCATGGTACTAACAGGGAATTCATTGGGACAAAACAAGTTCGAGCAATTACTTAAACATACAAGATCATGAGGAGAATTGAAGCTGAAGAGTTGGGGTTGGATGCCGCTGAAATGGTGGTGACGAGTACGAGGCAAGAGATTGAAGGGCAATGGGGGTTGTATGATGGTTTTGATATTAAGATGGAGAGGAAACTTAGGATTAGGAGACGACGGGAAGTAAGCTGCCTAGGAAGGTACATGCCAAGGATGGCGGTATGGACAACCTCTTATTCTTCTTCCATAAGATTGAAATGATCTCAACCCATCTTGGCGGGTTAGATACACAGCCATTGTGCACTTTCGGTTCAATGGGATAACAAGTACCTAAGAAAACTGGCAGAGTCAACAAAAAGAGTGCATAGCACTACACAAAAACAGGTGGTTTCTGACAACGAAAACCACAACACTACATACTTAATTGTTCGCATTTCTTAAAATACAGCTTATGAATTTTTTTTTTTTGACACAAA